CATTTATTTATATTTTATTATAGTCTACAAGAGTACCACCATTAACTAATTAGATGGACTGACAATCGAGCCACAATGAAATATTTGGAACCATTAGTTTTAAAAAAAATGGGCCTGGTTTGGGCTTTTCTTCAATTCCCATTCTTCTAATCTTTACGACATCTTTATCCCAGGCCCATTTTAATTTGCAAGTAAGTTGTTGACAAGAATCCGTGACTATGGCCGCATCAGATTCACATAAATAAGAAACAATTAAAAAAAAAATTATTTAAGGATGTAAGTTTATTTTTTTGTCAATTAAGATTATTATTTTTAAAAAAATTTAAAATACGGATATAATATTTATAATTTTATTAAAGAAGGATATACAATTATATCATTAATTAAAAATTTTTTAAAATTAACCATCTTGATTAATAAAATAAAACTTTTAAAAAATAATAACTTTAATTAATAATTAAAAAAAAAAACGTACCCTTAATTTATACAAATCTTCGCTACATTTCATCATCAAAATTATAGATCATCCTTTTTCTGAACGAAAACTTTAGGCCCCAAAATACCGTGCAGTGGGACCAATCAATATGAACAACATAAATAGAAAGTGGAGCCCAAAGCCGCAATTTGCTGCCCCATTTCGGCACTGCAGTTTTCATGGGCCATATTCTCGTCTTCTCAAATCATTGTTTCTACTTTCTAACTTACATATATCCAATTATTTAAAAAATATATCCAATTTAATTAAATATTGATGGAGACAATAAAACCGCAGACAGAGAAAAAAGACAACTAAAGGACTCGATATTTTATTTGTTAATCCATCTAATAAAACTCAATATTCATAATAGGTTTGTATGTGAGAAAATATATTAAGTAAAAAAGTTTTATATTAAGTATATAATAAATAAAAATATATGTTAAATATAAAAAATATTATTTTATTTATTGTTAATAAATATTAGATTAAATGTAAATTTTATATTAAAACTCATTTGTATAATTTTTATATAATATCAAAACGAAGGTTTCATTCCTTAAAAGTTCATTGTTAACCTATCAAAATCCAGAATTTATGTTAGGCCTACATATAAGTGGATATATTAAATCACATAATAAGACCTTATATTCAAATTTGACTTATATGTATGAGGACATATTAAGTGGAGAAATCTTATATCAATAATATAATAAAAAAAATTTGTGTATTAAATGTAAAAAAAAAAAAAAACTATTTTATTTATCTTGTGTTAAAACCCACATGATTAATTTTCACGATTCCGAAGCAATTCTGTCCTGAAAATGTCATTTGTGATGTTGAATTTATATCCAATTTACTAAACATCTTTGAATTGGCAAGGAAATGTATAGAAAATAGAAAATTTTATATTAACTGAGTTGGGTTTTGAATTTGAAACAGACTTGACCCAATTGGGCCACGGCCCATGGGACCCTCAACACAAAAATCGCCGAATCCTTTTGACTCGAATCTCGCAGGTGACAATGATGGAGCAGCAGCAGGCACCGGGCGCCACAGCCATCATGAAGCGTGGTGGTGACCGCCGTGCACGTGCAGGGCTTCTGTTTCCCAATGGGACCCATCAAAGCCGTACACCAACAAGATTCCCTGTTAGGCTTCCTGCCAATTTTCACCGTTCCTTCTTTCTTCCTTCACTCACCGTCGCCGCCTCCTCCTTCAGCACCCGTGTATTTTCAACGGATTCACAAGCACGCCGCTTTATCTTGGGGACCCGTTTGGTTGGCCTGCTATCACGGGAAAAGAATTTCGGGAAGTCACACCAACTAATAATCCGGACAAATTTCTAGGAGTTTGATCAAGTGGTAAGCGGTTTATTCTAGTTTAAGCAAAATTTTAAGTTCGAGACTTTGTGTACGCAGTAGCTTTCGTTGAGAGACTCATCAACCATTTTCAGGTGTGCGACCCAGATCGATCCGGATTAATCGAGACAAAACCTCAGATACCGAACAAGAAACTAAAAAAAAAAAACAAAAACAAAAATAATAGTCCGGTTTTTTTTTTTTTTAACATGATTTTCATGGAATTGGTAGCTTGAAATCTTGATCAACTTAACTCAAGTCCTAATAATTTGGAGGTAAATCATTTAAATTTGAAGGTTTAATTCAATACTTTGATTCGATTTTAGCACAAAAATTAATATAAATACTATAGCCAATTATCATGTTGACACTTGAGAATGTAATTGCTATTCACTATGAGAAAATAATATATATATTTTTTAACATTTTGTCATGAAACCGACTCGAACCGTTATCTTGAAAGGGGGTATGAACCTTATAAAAGTGACCAAAGTCACTTGGCTCACAGAACCAAATTCAAAAAATAATATTTTTTTAATAGAAAATTGATCATAAAAATTTATATTTTTAGTTATAAATTAAATTTATGTTTAAATTTTAATTATTTATGCTCAATTCTATCCTCATCAAATATCTATTTTCTTATAATAATTGTAGGTATTTTGTGATATAATCGATTATTAGTTTAATATAATTCACTACTTATGCTGGAACCTTCCCTTTCATAATGACTTGTTGGGATGTGTTTCCTTCACATATAATCAATTATACTCAACTTTAATACGCTATACTCATGTAATAACACGAACACTAAGGGTTTTGTTAATTATAGATACAAACACGTAACATTCCATGAGAATTGTTTAACGTTTTTCTTGTAAAATATAGCGCCTTTAGGACATACTCAAATGTGAAGAACCAAATCTTGTTTAAAGATGAAAATGACTTCTTCACTTTCTTTCGGAATGATAAAAAATTTTGTAACTGGGCAATGAAGTCACTGCACTAGTACCATTAAAACATAAACTATAGACATGGTATTCAGTAAAGAGACTTAAAAATTGGAGTGGGTTTGGTTCAAATTTAGAATACCGTGATGAACAAATTGTCTAATGCATTAGGGCATGAATTCAGGGGCTGTGTCGGCCCATATATACAAGAAGTTAATTAGTAGCCGTGATAATGGGCACCAAACTACGGCCTCACTGGTTCTAGGTTAGGTCGTTCTAGTTTATCTTTTTCGTTTCAATAATAATCACTGTGTAATTTTCCAAGCCAATGGCCTTGTACCTAAATCATGGTTGTTTAATGAACATTTGAACGACAATGTAGTCAAAGGGGAAAAATAAACGAAGTATTAAGGTTAAACTAACGATGATGATTGGAGAAGGCGAACCAATTATGAAGATTGGAGAAGGTGAACCAATTAAAATTGTCAGTGTTTTCGTAATTAATTGATTAATTTTTTTTTTTTTTGTAACTCACAATAATTAAGGTTTGAACAAACTGATGAAGAGATTTATACCAAAATAATTGATATAGATATTTACCAAGATAGATGCAGATATTTTTTAGTGAATCTCTTTATATTTAAAAATTATATTAAGTTTTAATTAATTTAAAATTAAATTAAATTTTATATAAAAATTTTAATATTTATTTTTGTACTTATCAACTTAAAATTTAAGATTTTATTTAAAAAAATTAAGTTTTTTAATTTAACTTCTACAAGTAATATATTAATTCAAGCAATAATTTCAAAAGTTTAAATTATTAATAAATAAATATTATTTTATAAATTAAATTAAAATTTTAAATTTTAATATTAAGATTTTAAAATTGTTTAAAAAATTAATTTAAAAACATTTAATTATAAATAAAAAATACAAGTAATATAGGCACAAAAACCTAGAAAAGAAATTGTATTTAATTCACCTCCCCGATGTTGTTAGGATGGGCTCTCATTCCATAGATCCATAGCCAAGGGATCTAGGGTTACCTCCCCAATTAAACCTGCTCTATTAAAGGAGCAGTTAGCACAAGTAGGGATATAATTGAACCCATCTACTACAACAATAGTGGTTGTACTGCTCAGCCCTTGGGAAGTTAAGCAAACACCAGTGAAACAGTAACCTCATTCAAAGGAAGAAGGGGCACGAAATCAACCCTCTTGGATTTGGCCACCCTCGACCGGAACCCGAGGATCCGGATTTTGAGACATTTTTGAACGGAAATGTTTCATAAAGCG